CAGTGCTGCATATTCCCCCAAAGGCAGAGTCGGGGGGAATATTACTTTGAGGTTACCAGAAACTGGGCAGTCTCGAAAACTTGGACCAGGTTGTCTCAAGCAACAGAGCCATAGATCCTTTTTGCAGTCTCAGCCTAGGAGCTGATAGGTCCCTTGGGAGCTGGTGATACGCTCAGCTCAAAGCTTCTGTCAACAAGAGGATTTCCGCATCTGGTGCAAGGCCTCCTTTAAAACGGAAGGCGGAAGGCGTGCACTGGCATCCCGAGCTAATGAGAGCACCTGAAACCCGCGACTCTGTGGTTGCTTCTGTCAGTGTGGCACCAAGATGGCTACAAACGCTGCAGTTTCCAATCACCAGGAAAAGCTGACCTTCCCTCGCCATAGCTCCTGTCGACTTTAGGACAAAATAGAGTTCCAGCGGAATTCTGCTGATCCAGCAAAGTTCTTTAACCAGCCCACGGCTCAGGTTCTCAGGAGTGTAAGGCTCTCAGACTGTAATCAAAGCTGCTGAACTTTTTTAAAAAATGAAGTGTTTTCATTCAAGCAGCTCTCCTTCCGTGAGCCCCCTAGTGTGCTCAGATCCAACACAGACACTGAACATCCCCCTGCCCCAGCAATTGTGGGAGTGTAGACTAAACACTCACCCCTTTGAATCATAAACATAAATCCACCTGAACAAGGACACTGAGATGTCCGCTTCAGTCATAACACAGAGGGGATAGAGCTCAAGCTGATCTTTGGAGGACCCTCGGGCCATTTTTCCTATTTACTTTCTGCCTGGGTTTTTCCTCATTGTCCAGTCTTTCCCCCCCTTGCTCCACTTCTAACATCTCTATACTAGGTCGATCCTTGGGTGCACTCTCTATTGCTGTCTTGGTCACAGCTGCTTGGTACAAGTAGACAAGTTTCCCCTTGCTGACACCATCCCCACCCCCACTGGGCCACAGCTGCAGGAAAACGGCCAAGGCCAGTCTCTGGGGACTCAGAAGGCTGTGGTGTGCAAGGTGGTGGGTGGTAGCTTTCTCTCTCCATCATCTGAACCCCTCCCAGTCCTGATCCTTTGCCCCCACATCCACCTCTGCCTTAGGGCAGAAAGGTTGCAACAGGAAAAAGACTGGTGGCATAGGGTTCCTTTGGCTTTATCCTGTGGTTCCACAAGAATCACTTCCAGGCCAGGTATGGGACTCTTAATTCCGGCTAGTGAGTTCAAGAGGGATGCCCCAGAGGAAGTAGTCAGTGATACCTCATGCACCTAACCATGCTCCTTGAGCTTCCAAACTCAGATCTAGGATCTTAAAACTGAAAGGGTTCTGGGGCAATGTTCCCCCCCCCACACACACACACACTTTACAGATGTGGAACATGAGGGTAGGAGGCAGGATACAATTTATCTGAGGTCATACTAGAGCAAGTCTGGGACAGAGGGAAGGCTGGAAGGGAAGGTGATGTCAAACCAAATAATTCATCTGGACAACCCCTGAAGGGGCCAGTGGTCCTGTATTGTTTGGACAGAATCCCCAGGGTACTCTGAGGGCAGGGTGAAACTGCAGATAGCATTCTAACAGGAACAGCCCAGATTCCCCCTTTTACAGGCAGTGATGTTCATCTGCAGATCTGCAGGGCTGTGTTCTCCTCTGTGGAACCCAGCTTAACCAGTGAAGGAAGGTAGCCCCTCCCTATACTTAGTGATCTTGGGTCAGAGGAAATTTCCTTCTGAGTGGGTTTTCTTATCACTCCTGGAGTACCTGAGCTCTGAGAACTTCAAATCCCCAAAGAAGTGAAGAGTCCTGATATGACCACCCAGTACATCCTTACAGGCTGCCAAGCAGTGGCCCAGAGAGGTTCAATGACCAGTCTGAGCTCACATAGCTATTCCCTAATAGAGCTCTGCTTCCATGCCTCACTTTTGCCTTCATCTGCAGTCTGGGTCCAGGAAGGACTAGCAGAGAGCTACACAGAGGGCATAGACCTATGGAACCAAACCACCACAGTGGTGGTTGGGGGACGGGGACAAAACAAACAAAATGCACAACGTATTTCAATTAATTAATTAATTGCTTTGGCAAGTTTTGCCTGTTGGAAGAATGGCCATTTTGAGTGTATTTCAGAAGCCAAAACACCTTCGAAGAGAGGGCATCTATCTAATTCTCTCTGCACTTGGAGACTTTACTTGATGGGGGCCGCACGCCACCCCCAACCCCTCCCCAGCTCCCCATCACTCCCTCCAGTCTTCAGAAGAGTCAAGTCCTCAGCATGCTGGTGCTGCTATGGAGTTCTAGCCCGAGAGTGACTCTTGCAGCTCAATCCCAGCCCATTTGCCTGCTCTTTCTTCCAGCAAAGCAAGGTCTTTCAAGACTCAGACTGGGTGCTCAGTTGGGAAGAATCCAAGCTGCCTGGGCACTGCCGTTCTAACCTGATGGGTTCTTTTTAACCTTTCATTTGAAAAAGTACCAAAGGGGAAAAGCAACTGATCTGCGATTGCACAGCAAATGGGGCTTAGAGATGCCCATCTGATTCCTGAAAGTGGATCAAGCGTCTGCCCTCCCTGGCCTGAGTTACATTGCAGGAGTCACTGGGGAGGAGAGCATTACATCAATGCTCACATTTCCTGTGCTGGGGCTTGTCACCCCTACCAGCCTGTCCTTGCAGAGCTGGAGCACCAGGACAAAGTCTCTCTCCCAAGACTTAAGACTTAGCAGTTCTTTCTCCTAAGGCCTCAGCTTCTAGTGCCTGGAACAGAGAGGACAGGACGCTCTGGAGTGTTTCCCAGAGCTTTATGAGATGCTGTCCCATGCATGGGAAGTGCTATTCTCCCTTCATCTAGACCTAGTCTTGTTTGATGAGCATCATAAGCTCCTGTCCTCTGAACCTCCACCTCCACTTTTCCAAGGAAGAGGGAATCTGTTTAAGTGGCTCCTTGCTGTGTGCTGGCCTTGCTTAACACTGGGTTTTGAGTTACAGAGAAGCTAGGAGTGGGGAAGCTGGGTTTTAGAGAAGGGATTCTGGAGGAAAAAAAGTTTGGTGGCCCATGAAAGGCCTAGAAGTTGAGGGTCATTTGAATGCTTGGACAATCCCTCAATCCTCTCCCTCCTCTGTCCTAGGCTGGGTCTCAGAGACAGGCAGAAGGGTACTCTGGCCTGAGCTGTAACTCCACCCCAAGCAGGTGGCTTTTACCCTAACCCATCATTAAGGGGTGTGGCTTTTAGGATTGAAGCTCCAACCCCCCCCCCACAGGATTACCCCTACACAAACCCCACCTAGCCTAACCGCACAGAAGAGTGAAATGCTTTATTGATTAAACGATTATTCAGGCGATTGAACTAATCAAAGAGCCCATCGACCGCCATGAATTACATTCTTCGTGGTAGACAGCTTGTCGGGAGAGGCAGCCACTCAGACCCCTCTCGACTCACATACATCCAACCCATTTCCAACAATAAACAACCCAGACACGAGTACCTTTGGGCATCCCACCACTTGGAGAAGGGAAAGTTGTCTAGGAACGAAGAGTTCCAGGTTTCTGCATCTGTACTGTCATGGCCAGGCTCTTCTGGCCACTGTCCGCACTCTTCTGTTGTGGCTTTTCTGGACCCACAAGAATCCTGGTTTGGGGTCTAAGTTTTATCCTCTCTGCTCTTAGACTTTTTTTTTTTTTATCAAAAGCTGGAGTAGAACTGGGGTCTCACAGATGACCCAGGAACGAGAGGAGTGGGTTTCTTGCCATAGTTCAGAGTATTTGTGTGCACATTGGCACAGGGATTAATGAGAAAAGGGGGTTGTCTTACCAGGTTATGCCTGAGGGTAGACAGAGGCCTTCTGCTCTGCCTCATCTTCTCAGACATAAACACACCCTGCTACCCAGTGCCTGGGCCTCTGAGAGACACAGGGGCACTGTGCCAAGAAGATCTATGTACATACAGTCACCCCAGCTAAATGACCAGGCTAGGCACATATATACACCCTCTTGAGCTCTCCTCCATTGGAGCAGCACCCACAGGACATAGCCTGAGCATACAGTGTGACATACAGACACATACAATGTCAGGCTAGGTGAAAACCTAAAGGCAAGTGATTTGGGAAGGGAGTGGGTGGGGGCTGTCAACATGTCATCAGTAGCCCACAGACAGCTTCTTCTCACCCACCAAAGTTGTGTCTGTCATAGGAGACCCTTGTACACAAATGCAATTCAGTAGTACCCCAGGAATAAGACAGTGCTCAGTGCACAGTGAGGGCCCAATTGCCCTGAATTCACATCATTTTTGATTCTGTCTCCCAATATAAGACTTGGGTCTGGCAGCACATGTTTTGGACACTATACCCCAGTAGGCCCAGAGCCACGTCTGTGCCTAGAGACATGCGCTTTTGTGTGCATTGATATGTATACATTGGACAGCTGTTGACATCCAAAAATGGAGGGGTCAGAGTCACCACCTCTTCCTTTCAAAGACACTTAGGAGAGGTGAACAGACCCTCAAAGCAGCAGATGCACAACGAGTGAGGTGCTTATCAAAATTATATGTTAATATATATACACACACACACACACACACACACACACACACTCGTGCTTTGGAGGATTCAAAAGAACACCCACACAAGCACCAACTCTTAAGCACACACTAATACATCCAGGGCAAGATACAAGCTTGTGAAGACACAATCAGGCACACAAACTCAAACAAAACACTCATTTAGGGGCACACAAACTCATCCACACTCATGCACACTTTGAACCTGTTAGGCAAACACTCAGATCCAAACTTGCACACCTCCAGATTAACACCAACACAAGCATCAGAAACAGAAACAAACAAAAACCAAAGAAAACAGGTCTCCTTGAAGACAGCAGGACAGAGCAGTGAAAGCCCTACAAACACACGTAGAACGACAGGCCTTTCCCCCAGGAAACTCAGCACATCCCCTCTGTTTCACGTGGGCGCTAGGAATGTGTCCCAGAGTTAGCATTAGCATGGATGATGCCCGTTTCACGGTGGTCCTACCTGTCCTGATGGTCCGAGGAGTCGGGTAATTTTTCTCTAAATCCATTTTGATATTTCAGGACTTGATGAAATGGACAGGGGGGAAAAGTTTCCACTTTTTTGTGCCCTTCCTTTTTTTTTTTTTTTTTTTTTTTTTGTGCTGGGGCCGCTCACAAGTCGGAATAATTCAAGCCTTCCGCTCCCCCGCCGAGCTGGGGTAGCTGATCACTGAGCTGAAACTAAACGTTTTAGGTGGAAAAAAAGCGTCCGAAGGCACCGTGAAATGATTAAGGAACTAAAGAGCTTCTCGCCATGTGAGATCATGTCCTGTTCTCGCCAACATCACAAGATGTCCCCAGACACGCCGCGCCCCCGGCGCACCGCCCCGCACTGCGGGGCTAGGAGCCGGGAAAGGGTGTCGACTTTGCGGCCTGCCCAGCGTGCCAGACGGGGCGGACCGGGCCGGCCGAAGGCGTGCGAGAGGCCCCGAGAGCAGTAGTGCAGCCACGGCTGCCGCGTCGGACTTTTTTTTTATAGGGGGCTGGGGGGAGGGAAGGAAGGATTCAAACTGCGCCCCGCGTTAGTCGCGCGCCTAGGGGAAGGAGCGGACTGAGGCTAAACCCGAGCTACCGGGTCACACCTGCTTCCAAACCTGCGTCTGGGGGTCTCGGCCCTGTGCGCTTTCGCTCTATATGCAAACCCTGTTTCGTAGGTGCCAGTAGGCCCGATTTTTTATTTTAAAGAAAGAGCAATTCTACCAAGCAGGTGATTTTGAATGCTGTGCTAACACAATTGTCAGTCACGGGGGACGTTCCAGCATCCTCAGATTCACCCCTAGGGCGGCGCCCGCCTTCGGAGTTCCCAATTTCCCCACCCCCAATCCATTTGCAATCTCCATAGTTTTGCTGGGCTCTACTTCTAGGGCAACTTCACGTCCTTTCTGTCCCCAGGTTCCACTCAGCCTCCAGATCCCAGATCTGCTCTCCAGAGCAGGTTCCTTTCTGCTCGGAACTCAGAGGCTCAACAGAAAGATTGCGGATAAAACCCGGACTTTTGCTTTGGAGATCCCGGGCCAAGCAGAACCATCTCAGTAGATTCAGAAACAAGCGAAAATTATGGACACCTTACCCAGTTCCTAAATGAAATCCCACTGCCCTCAGCCTAGGAGACCTTGTGGCATCCCCTGAGTTCCCAGACTTGATTTCAGAAGTGAAATCGGAGGCGGAGAGACTAGGCAAAGGTGTGGCGCGTCCAACTCGGCTCCCTGCGACCCAAGCCTCTCATCCTGTCCCCTCCTCAGTCTGGAATCTAAGCTGTGGCCACTGGAAACCTACGGAGCCCCTCCGCGGGGTGGTCGCTGGGGAAGGTTCTCCAGGGCGGGGGAGCACTTCTGGCCCGCTGGACAATGGCAGTTTCGGAAACTGAATCGTCCTCAGAGACAGAGTTTGTTTGATTTTTTTGAGGGGGTGGTCACGAGGCTGGGCTGCAACCTAGGGGGGAAGAGCCTAGAGTTCGAGGATGGGGGGAGGGGGCTAGTGGAAACCGGACCTCACGAATCCACTGAGCAGATTTCGCCACAATCGGAAACGTGGTTGAGGAATCCCGAGCGGCCCCCCACACCAAAGGGGTCTGCGCAGTCCCCCGTACCACCTCCTCCCTCTGCAGCCTGTGGGTCCCGGTCCCTACTCTGCGGTTTGATTTTTGGCGGTCCTGGAGCTTTAGACTCCGGGCCTCTGCTTTGGCTTCCCGCCCTTCCGCCTCGGACGCCGGGAGGCTGCGCTGGGGAGGAGCGGCCTGCCTGCTCCAGGAGATCAAAAGCCCTTTCGGAATTGACAGTTCACCCTGGGCTGGGGCGGGAGTTGTAGGCTTTTCTTTTCTTCCTAGTTAGGGGTTTGTTTTGTTGTTTGTTCCCTGTGAGTTTCCACTATCTGTGACTCTTTTGTTTCTTGCGTTTTGCTTGTTGGTTTTCTTTTTTCCTTTGTGGAGCTGATTTTTTGCAGGTTTAGCTCTGGGATGGGTATTGTTGTCTGTCTTGGCTGCTTTGATTTTGTGTGGGTTTTGTTCTTTGCCCTTGTAGACTGTCTCCTTGCCAGGCCTTTCCTCTAAACAGTGCTTTGATATGCTCTGTATCTGTAAGTGACTTGTGTGTGCTGCGTTGGTAAATGTGTTTATTTTGTTTTATTCGATTCTAATTCCTTTTAATGAGCTGTGTTTTTGGATGAGGGTTTGGGATTTATTTTGCTGTGTTGGCTTTACTTGTGTATTTGTGAGACGATATGATGAGTTTTGGGTGTATATTTTGGTTTTGTGGGGGCTTTGGGATTAAAGGAGGGCACACTAACCACTATTTCGTTCCTGCCTACATCTAGCTAGGCACCAGGATTAGGCCAAACACTACGGAATGGCGGGGTTGCCAGACGCCCCAAAAAGTAGATCCGGGGGAGCTCTGTGCGCCTCGGACCAGTGTGGAACGAACATGCGTTCCCGAGGGGGCGCCCGTTGCAAGCCACAACCTAGTGGGTCGTGGTGCAGAATTCAGAATCCCCTTCCGCGGTACCCAGGCCTAGTCACTGTTCCCTTACTCACTCGACCAGCTGTGGTTTGACGTCTTCTTGGGACCGGTTTGCGTGCTTTCAACTCCTCCAAACCCCCTGCCAGCAGCGTTGAAAGTAGAGGCAGCTCCCCGCTGCGGAGCAGGTGACCAAACTAAACCACTTCGGAGGACTCGGAATTGATGCTGAGGCCCTAGAGATACCGAGTAAGGGCCCGGAAGCAAGGAGTCTAAGCTCAAAAAGGAGTCCGGATCCCTGAATATTGCACCCTACTTCCTCGCCTAAAACTCTAGAAACCTGTGTTCAGCTTTTGGGCTCGGAGTGCCCGCCCTGTTTGCAACCGTAGGTCTGTATATCCACAATTGAACACATATATACACAGCCAGCTGGCTCCGCAGCGGCGGCCTGCAAGGTGGAACCAGAGCTGGCATCGCCTGGAGGGGAAACCAAATCGTAGTGACTGGAAATATTCTAAGAACAAAATAAGGCATTTTTTTTTTTTCTAATCACGTTGCCGCAATAACACACTAACCTCAACGTGTGTATTTTAATTCTACGCCAAGCAGTGAGACGGGGGCGGAGGGTGGGGTGACATAGAGTCGGAGAATCATGCTAGCTATGCCGGTTAGGAAATGCTAGGAGAATCTATAGAGAAAGATAGAATGGCAGAGGCGACGCTGGGAAGAGGCAGATTGGAGGCCCAGGAAAGGGGCTGGTGCCACGGCTCTCAAGACCCCGCGTGCTCCGTCAGTGTGTAGGAGGGAGAAAGCAGAAACCGAGAGCAGAGAGTGACAGGAAAAGAAAAGAGCCGCAGAAGGGGTTGGCCGAGGCGCGCAGTGAGCTTCCCCCCCCCCCATCCAGAAGGCTAGAGTCAAGAGGGTGAGGGGGGAAGGCCGACAAGGAGAGAGGCCAAGTTCGAGCTCTTCTACCAGGCAGGGGAACACCACCCAGGAGCAGAAACTGAGATTCGGTTCTGGCCCGGCGATCTCCCTCCCCTGATCTTGGGGTGCTATAGCGAGGGTTTGGGTCATCCTTGGCTGCCTGGGCAAGCCCTGGGGGCAGTCACCCGAACGACTCTAGTCCTAGGGCTTCCCTCTGTAGCCGGTGAGGTTGGTGGGTGGGAGCTGCTGTCCTTGCAGGAGGCGAGGAAGAGGCCCCGCCCTAAAGTCTGGACCCCAAGTCAGCGAGATCCCGCGGCCTGAGCTGGACTTGCGGGAGTCGAGTCGCGCAGCACACACGTGGTACCGCACCTTCAGCAGGCGGTGCCCAGAAAGCCCAGCCCCGCCCTGCGTCGTATGCCAGGCCCAGACTGTGGCAACAGGGAAAGTGGACATGAAATCAGAACCCGTAGGGCCATTGCGTTGAGCTTGGAACTTGCCTAGGTACTGTGCCTAAATGGATGGGGTCGCCCTCCACCTTCACTTCTTGGGGCGCAAAGTGCAAAAAGGACACAACATCGGTCACTTTCCTTGGCTGGTTTTTAGGGCTGACTTGAGTCAAAACACTCATTTCTGCTGCTGTTAAGTTCCTCTGCTTGTAGGGGGCTTCGAGCTCTGGAACTCTGGCTGCTGGTTCGCTGGGGTACCATGTGACAGCCACTCGCCGACGTCTGGAAATACTCCGGTACCGCGGAATATATGATGGGGCTATGTGCTCCGAGGAACTGATGCTTTATGGTGGGTTATCTCGATTGTTTTTCTTTACTGCTTTTCTTGTTTTAATTAAAAAGGTGCAGATCAAAGAGTGCAGACCGGGGTCGTTTGGATGGGTTCATTTCAACTCAAATCCAATAGTTCAATTCAGTTTCACGACTGCTTTCCAGTGCACAGGAACACATGGCAGACGTCAGATGTATATGCTGTATACATATGCACAGAGGCCCGATTTGACGGCAACTCTTAGAAAATTCCGAGATTAAATCTACTCTCTTAGAGTTTCACTTGCAATATATGAATACAGAAAACCGTCAGCTGTATTTAAAATTTGCTAACACGTCCAAGCAATTCAAAATACCTTAAGAATCCAAAGCGAGGCGTTGAAAGATTTGCAGGGATTCTGATTGAAAACAACTGTGAATCCGTTGGTTTCTTTCTATGTTTTCTTTGAAAAGTAGCAATACCAGAATTGTCAGTAATAAATCAATTTTTTTCTAAAGAAGGTTGAGTGTTTATTTCTGTTCGTATTTGTAAATGGGCCTTTCGTTCTCTCTACTCGTTTTTCTTCTTTCTTCGTGTCGCGTGTGAGCTTTAAATATTCATACACCAGCACAGACTTACATTTATTCAATGTGTTTTAAGCTAATAAAAAATTAATGTGATGAAATTTGATTCCATTAAGTATTGGAATATAAAGGTACTCACTTCACGGGCGGTTTGGAGGTGAAAGTAGCAGGCTAAACCGTTCTTTTGCTTTTTAATGCCGATAATAATATTAAATGGAAATGAAGCTTTAGTAGGCCCTTTAATGTTGCGCTTACTTTATTCGGTTTCTCTGGATAACTTGGAACTATGGCAGGGGGTCGAGCAGGATGGGGTGCATTCCTGAAGCCTGAAGTGGGAATCTGCAATGTGGACTGGTTTTGTTTTTTATTTTTCTTGTGGGGAAGTACCTTATGGGGGTGGTCAGAACCTTGCTGGGTATCAAGTCTGGGCTTGAAGATATGGCTAAAATAAAACCGTGCTCTAAAAGTTTCAGATTTTGTGGATACCTGCTTCCTGTTGGGAGCGGCTTCCAGAACTCAGCCTAGAGTGAGGTGGACCCAGAAGTGAAGCTGAAGCCCCAAAGGTCTGTGAGCTGAGCCTGACACCAGCCCCACTGCC